AAAAAAAAAAAAAAGAAAATTTCCTTATGCCCTTTATCTAGATTTCTTAAATGTTAACATTGTATCATTCTTGGATACATTGCACTTGGGCATGTGTGTGAGTGTGTACATATTTTTCTGTTACCTATTTGAGAGTAAGTAGCAAGTGTGTCCCTTTACCCTTGATATATATTTCCTAAAAATAAGAACATTCTCTTAAAATTACCAAAATCAGGAAAATATTGATATAATTATACCTAACCTACAAACCTTATTCAAATTTTACCAACTATGCTGGATCTTTTTTTTTTTAATTTTTGATATTGTCAGAATCCTTTATTTAATAGTTAACCTGTAGCAAAGTAGTATATAATTCTCTCCTGCTCTCAGTGACATAGATTGAGTGAAAAGCAGTTCTAGAGCAGTGTTCTTTGCTAAGGATAGATATGAGAATCACCTCAGGTATTAAAACCAAACAAAGTTACTTAGTATTCATCCCAGATTTGCTGGCTGAAAATCTAAAAGATTGGAGTCAAAGTAAGGATGTTTTACAAAAAAGCCCCTAGATGATTCTGATCCACAACACTAATTTAGTTAGAACTTCTTCCCTAAAGATTAGGAACCCTTTTGGAAAATCTTTTTATCTTCCAAGAAAATTTGCATACTGATACTTGATTTTAATCTTTCTCTTCCAGGCTTATCCTGAATATTTAATTACTTACCAGATTGTGAGGCCTGAAGGTATGGTCGATGGATAAATAATTGTTTTGCAAAGTTAATTCCACTGAACCTAAAATCATGGAAGCAGCTCATGGCCTCTAGGATTTACTTCTTTACTGAAAAAGATCATCTTGCCCACAGGCCCATGGCAAAAGGATTAAAAAATGTGAAAGAATTTTGACATTCTGACTTGATAAAGCTTTAATAATGTACAGTGTTTTCTAAATATTTTCTGTTTTTCAGCACTTTAACAGATGTCATTCCAGGTTACACTGGGTTTGTCTGTACTGAATTATAAACAGAGTTAATTAACTTGAACCTTTTATACGTTATGCATTGATTCTGACAGAAACTGTAATGCCCTCAACAGAACTCATTTTACTAATACAGTACTGTGTTTTTTAAAACACAGCATTTACACTGAATACAATTTCATTTGTAAAACTGTAAATAAGAGCTTTTGTACTAGCCCAATATTTATTTACATTGCTTTGTATTATAAATCTACTGTTTTAGAACTGCAGCAGTTTACAGAATTTTTTTCGTATTGCTCATCTTGCATTTTCATAATTGAGTGATTTTTGCATTTGATTCCAGAGGCTGTGTTGAGTTATTAGCAGAAACTTAGTTAGGAAAGATTGGTTTATCACATTTAATTTGCTGATGGAAGTTTTTGTCTGTCACTAGAAATCTTTCTCATTTAAGAACTTATTTTATGAATACTCTGGGGATCTAATTTGTGATACCTTTGTATGTATAAGACACACATTCCAAAGAGTTCTATTCTAACTATGGTAGGTCCTAGTTACTAAAGAAACTTCTTTACGGGCTTAACTCTAAATTTTATATTGGAAAATTTTCTAATGTGATTCTGTGAAAATTAGAGCAAGTGCTCCTATTTTTTAGAGGGGCTAAATCCTGCTACTAAACAATTATGCTGTTCTTTTCACGGAATATAAATAGGAAGTTAAATTTCAAAGGTAGGAAGGGTAATTCTGGGTAGTTTCCCAGTCAGATTTTCTCAGTCTTCTCCTGGCCTCCTGCATGGGCAAATGCAGTGAGGCAGGTGCTTCCTGCTCCTGGGTTACCTCGCCATGACATTATCCCCAGTTGGCAATCTGTTTCCAGTTGGTACACCATATGGTCGCCAAGCCTATGTTCAGTTTGGCAGCTGTAGAGGGAAATGCTATCCCATAAAATGCCGTTCCTGACTATTTTCTGATATAAAACTCTTCCAGGAAACATGCCCAAGCATCTTGGTACAGAGATAATACTATACATTATGGCTTAGCAATCTATTTTATTTGTTGATTCTATCTCCCTCTAAAATCAAGGAAAGATTTTTATCCATTTAATGAGAACATTCCCCCTCATTCTGTGTACCTACCAGTTTACTTCTGTTTTATATTTTATTCAGTCTCTAACTGGCCCTTTGCAGTAACTTGTATATAAAGTGCTAGGAAATCATGTTTCTTGTCCTGAGTAGGAGTTAATCAGGGTAAATCCATATCTGAAGTTGTTTCTATGATGTAAATTGTGATCATTATTTAAGATGTCAAATCATGACCTTGAAGTGCTTTTATATAGCTCTAATAATTGCAGATATGATGATCCTAAAGTCATTTCTTGGAACACAAATGAAGAATGCCAAACTTTATATAAATTTTACAGATTCTCTTAGCTTCCAGTTTTTACAATTAGAAGATAATGAGATAAATTAATGGAGTTTATATTTACATACTTCTCTCTCAACATGTAGCCCATATAACTCACCTATGAGTGAATCTGGGATTGCTTGTCTTGTAAAATCGTTGTGGTCTATGAGTTTATGATATTTTGAACTTTGTTATTTCATCTAACCATTGCTTAATGACTGTTTTTCCATGAATGATTATACTGTGGTTAATATGTTAGCATGGCAGTATTCTCAGATAGTTTTTTGTTTGTTGGGAGATTGGGATTTGGGGGGGCCGAGTTAGTACTTTGCATGAAATATCTTACTTTATAACGGTGAAATTGCTTTTCCTTTTGTCTTGTGATTTTTTTTTTTGAGGTGAAATTTAACTTTTTGTGTGAGTAGTACTATTATACCTATCTTGAGTGTCTTACTTGTACTGTATCACATTCCATACCTTTGTTTAATTCTTAATAAACTGTTCACTTGTTTTTCTTGGTAGCATGGTAATTACTGGAATAGTATACATGTGTTGAATGGTCTTTGAGAAAATGGAATAAGATTACAATAAACCACAATTACAGGAAAATGAAGTAGTTCTGAGTTTAATAGTGATAAAGAGTGCAGCTTAAAGATTGAAATATTGAATGTTGCAGCCATACTTACTCAGATGATTTATGGTAAATGTAACTATAAGATGTTTTTAACATTTAGCCCCCCATGGGGGCGGTACCTGTGGCTCAGTGGGTAGGGCACTGGCCCTATATACCAAGGGTGGCTGGTTTGGACCCAGCCCTGGCAGAACTGCAACAAAAAATAGCTGGGCATTGTGGTGGGTGCCTGTATCTCAGCTACTCGGGATGCTGAGGCAAGAGAATCGCATAAGCCCAGGAGTTGGAGGTTGCATTCTGCCAAGGGCAATAAAGTGAGACTCTGTCTTTATTAAAAAAAAAAACAAACAAACATTAAGTCCATGCAACACAACTTCGGCAAACCTCAAGGCTCATTCCTGGGACATCATTCTTCTCATCTTATAAATAGGAATCTATTTTTTATTTCTATGTCATGTGAAAACTTAAGTTTCCAAATCTCAAAGCTGGTAGTGTTTATCATGATCACTCTTAAAAGGAAGTATAGTAGTGTACATATATTAGATTTCAGTATGCTAAGTTTCCTGTGTGTGATCAATTCTCTGGTTCCCATATTAAGAAAATGATGGTGCAAATAATCTATAAGTCTTTTAGCTGTGAATTAATATTTCAGCAGCTTTATTCTCCTGCCTCATTTAGGATAATACTGTAGTGTTTGCTGTTTCAAGTATGCTTGCCAGTTTCAGTGTGTGATGTGATCCAGTTGTTTGCAGGTTGATAAGGCAAGAAAACATGTAAATTCCCAAAGCTCTTATGATTAGTACTCCTGACTGCTTTTACCTACGGTCCTGTCCTTTTAGAGGACTAGGTAACGGAGGAAGTGTTGGTACCCATTTTTCAATGGGAGAACTCTCAGATTTCTATAGTTAGACTATTTATGATATGGCGTTTTACTGTCTCTTGAATTTTCATTCCCCCTTCCCTTTTATGTTTACTGGCTTAGGCAGGCCATGACCTAAAATACTTAATTACACTCTCCTTAGAAAGTTCTTGCTCTTCACATAATATGTTATCATAAGTCCATGGAGAGACAAATACTAAATGAGGGTAAACTTTAAAAGCTTTTACAGCAATTTTACATTACTGTAACATTTATTTCTTGTATTAAAATACTGACCTGTAGCATATTGGAAATTAGGGGGGGGAAAGTGATCCCTCACAGATAATTTGAAAAGTTTAAGAGCAGTATCTACTTTGTATACCAGTAGATTCAGCACCTAGCAGACATGGCACATAGTAGTTTCTCAGTAATTTTTTTTTTAAAGACAGAGTCTCACTGTGTCATCTTGGGTAGAGTGTCATAGCTTCCAACAACCTCAAACTCTTGGGCTAAAGGAATCCTCATGTCTCAACTTCCTGAGTAGCTGGGACTACAGGCATCCACCACAATGCCCAGCTAATTCTTCTAGTGGAGATGGGGTCTCGCTCTTGCTCAGGCTGGTCTCAAACTCCTTTGCTTAAGCAATCTGCCTGTCCTGACCTCCCAGTGTGCTAGGATTACAGGCACAAGGCACTGAGCACTGCTTCCTCAGTGCATTTTTTTTTTTGAGACAGAGTCTCAAGCTGTCGCCCTCCATAGAGTGCTGTGGCATCACAGCTCACAGCAGCCTCACACTCTTGGGCTTAAGTGATTCTCTTGCCTTAGCCTCCCAAGTAGCTGGGATTACAGGTGCCTGCCACAATGCCCAGGTATTTTATTGTTACAGTTGTCATTGTTTTTGTTTTTGTTTTTTGCAGTTTTTGGCTAGGGCTGGGTTTGAACCCACCACCTCCAGCATATGGGGCCGGCACCCTACTCCTTTGAGCCACAGGCGCTGCCCAACAGTTGTCATTGTTTAGCTGGCCTGGGCTGGATTCGAACCCACCAACATCAGTGTGCGTGGCTGGCACCCTACTCACTGAGCTATGGGCACTGCCAGCACATTTTTTAAGTGAATAAATGGTGATTACATGATTGAGCCCTAAGGTCAAATGTGTCTCGATTTAAGTTTTCACCATACCTCTCATCAGCTGTGATCGTGAACAAATTACATGCCCTTTTTTTTTTTTT